TTTCAACAACAGCTCATTTCTTGAAATCTACATATGCTATGTTTTTAAAGTAGGGCGTAACTGAACAGTTTCCTGCACAAATTCAGCCCCACGTTGGGCGCCATTTCTGTAATGTACACTGGCCTAAATTGGCTGAGCAACTGAGATTAATGTATAAATATGTATTTTGGTCTAGATGACATAGACAAAGGATGTTAGTTGCTTTGGGTAAGATGTTATTACCACTCAGTTTGTTTCAGAAGGACTGCGGGAGCCTTTGTACGCTAACTTCAGTCGGGTGGGGGGTTCGTGTCCTTCCATTACAAATCTGCAGGAGTACAGAAAAATATTATAGACTCCCTGAATGTTGTTAAATCGAATGATATGAAGTGTATGAAAAGTCCCACAAATTTACTATCTATTGCTCATATATTTGATATTCCCCATTTTACTATATCTCAGGTGGTGTGAGATATACGCCTCTTAACCCTCCCTAACCATAGTTCTGTTAGACGGAATTTGATACAGAACCCCATAACTCGTGTTACCAGTTACGCCTTACCACTTCATGAAAACACGTTAGCTTCCTTAGTAATCCATTTCTTTAATTAGATAAACGCTCAAATATATGACATTATGAATCAAATTTTTATGCTATAATTATATGTAGTGAATAATTAAAATATTATAGGAAACATTATACTTAATCTAGAAAACAATATATGCTTGAAAATTACATTAACAAAAAAAAAAAAAAAGGAAATCTCAAAAAAAAATATTAGTAAATATATACGTGACACCCTAATATATAAATGACGTAATAAGTCTTATTGAATGAAACATGAAACATTACAATTGTAATATTTGTTGTTTCTTTGTTCTACTTTTCGAGAACGTAAAAAGAGATCAATGAATGAATCAAACAATAGCTTGTGTGATAAGTAGATGACAAAAAAAAAACTCAAAATAAAGAAACAAAAATCACTCAAAGTACTCACCACTCCGTTTTACGCTGAACTTGTTGGAGGCCTCGAAGAAGTTCGTCGTTGCGGTGTTATTCGTTGTGTTGTTGTTATTATATGTGAAATTCAATTGATGATAATGATCATAGTAATGTTTTCTCTACCTCATTCACAAATTTGTTTGTTCTTCTTCATTCATTAATATATCATTACGTGCGTATGTTTGATTATAACAGGGTGAACCTAAATTATGTCTATAAATTCAGAAACAAAATATAACTTACACTAAAAAAATATATAAAAGTGTGAATGTAAATTTAACAATTTACATAATACTTATCTAATTTTTATAAAGATTTTGATGGTCTTAGAATTGCCCTGCTTAAGGTACGGACATTCTATTTTATTGGTGGATGGGTTTTTAGTGACAGAATGGTGGTTTGTCCGGTAGAGGATTAATATGATGATTTTAGGTTTGATGTATTTTCTGCGAGATCATATTTTATCTAACTGGAACACTATTATTGTCTGGAGGCTGGTTGTGGTGGATTCGATAGAGGCTGCAAATCAATCTAACCCTAATATAATGTTTTGGGTTTCTTATGATGAATTCTGTGGTTATTTAGCAATCCATCCGGAGAAGTATTTTGTTGGAAATTTGGTTGAATGTAGCAAGTGATCGCAGTGGATGCTGAAGCTTTCGTAGTGGCAATGGTGGTGTGATGAATGATTTTAATATTAAGGCTTCAAATTTTTAGTGCAATTTTTCACAATATTTGACGGAATGTTGGATTTTGTTCATTACAAATCATGCGGGGGATAATTGGTTGATAGAAGATGGTATTAAAATGCACTGGTTATACTTGACATCGCACATGTTGGCCCCCGACATAACCAAACAAAATTCGTCTTCACAGTTTGAGCCACGTGAAGAAAAATGTCGGGGGTTATTCTTTTCTTAATTATAGTTGCCTTTGTCACTATATACCACTTTTATTGAATTTTTCCAACTGAGTAGGCTGAATTTCAATGATTATACAATTTTTTAAGAAATTGTATTCTTTGCCTAGGAAAAATACACAATTTTTTTATAAAAACGCCACTAAAACACTTTAACATTATATTTTATTACCTTGGCAAATTTAGGTTTATTTGCTAATAATTTCCTTATTTAAAATATGGAATTTGTCAATTTTTTAATTATCAAAATTATTTATCAAGTTTTTTCAAAATTCTTTAACTTTTCAATTTAGGTTTTTGTGTTCTGTACTTCTTGAAAGGCGAGTTGTAAAAGGCCTGTTGCAAATTCTCTTTTCTATACGAAAGCTCTGTACTAAAATTATAGTTGTATAGTAAGGGAATTGTAATTGTCGATAGAGTTGCTTTTGATCTAAGGCAAAGAACGATAGTACGTTTTTAGCGTTGCCACTTAGTTTCAATCGATAAATGTGATGAGTAATTTTGGTCGAATCGTATATTACACTAGTTGTAACATTGATTTTGTACTAAGATTTTTCGAGCGATTATTTAAGGACTTCCTAGCCGAAAGTAGTGAAAAAATAGTTTTAACAACATTCTCAGAAAATGCAGACGAAAAAATCGAGCATTATTTGAAATTTTAAAATGTGGATTTAAATAATCGTTTTTTCATTAGGAAAAATCATGGATCTGTTGTAAACATTTCTTAAAGGTTCTCCTGACGTGGGTTTTTTGGAAACATTTTCACAGCAATGGAAAAAAATAAAAAAATGTATAAAGTTTAAGGACTTGCTGATAAATAATCGTGGATATTTAAAAACATTTAGGGCTGTAATATGTGAATTTAAAAGAGCTTCTTCAAATCTTTGAGGACGACCACAATTTAAAAAAAGAAGACAATTTTACGACTTTTAGTTAGAATTTTTTAAAGACTTCCCTAAATATTCTAAGACTTTTTACGCAAAACTCCGGCTAATAATTGTTGGTTTTTAAGATTTTTTATTTATTTTTAACAATTTTTAAGGACATGGAAAATACTCTAGATCTTCCTGAAACAAAAAAAAAGGATTTGAAAAAAATATTCAAAGATCTTCTGACCAATAATCAGAAATTCATTTTTTTTCAAGGTGAGTTTTTAGAAAATGCCTCCTTGTTTTTAGGACATTTTTTTTTCTCAAGGATCTTCCGATGTCAAAACCTGACTAAAAATTATGAATTATATAAGAAAAAATTTTAAGGACTTTTTAACAAAAAATTTTGATATTCTACAAAAAAAATTCCAAAGTCCAAAAATCGTGGATTTTTAACATTTTTTAAAGGATTGTCTATGCAAAAATCTTAGATTCAAAGGGTCTTTGAACAAAATCGTATATTGTAAAGCCAACATTTTCAAGTGGGTCATAAAAAATGTTCTTAATTTTTTAACGATTTCTTAGGGATTCCTGAAAATTGCTTGCTTTCTAAACAAAATTCCAGCCACTCCTGATAAAAAATGTTTAATCTTTAACATTTTCAAAAATCACACGTTTTAAGAAAAAAAAAGTAGAAGTATATCCTGTTCAAAAATTGGGGAGTTTTTTTTTTCAAGAACTACTAGAGCAAATAGCATTTATTTTTAAATAATTGAGTTTTGAATAACAAATCTTTAATCGTGGATTAAAAAGAATTGAGTGCAACCGGACAAAATAATGGTTTTTTAAGAACTGTGGAACAAAACTCAAGGATTTTTTTAAGAAAAACAGTTTAAGGGTCCCCTCACTAAAGTTTTGCATTTTTTAGAATCCTGATAAAAAAACGTACTTTTTTTAAATCTTTTTAAGGGATTTCTAAGAACCTATTTCGAGGTAAATTGTGATTTTTTTAGAAAATATTTCAGAGGCGTCATTGACGACTTCTAAAAATGGTGAATTTTTAGCAAAATGTTAAAATGTTTTCAAGGACTACCTAGCCAAAAATCATGTATTTTACAATTTTTGTTTATATAAAATGGTGATCTTTTTATGAGAATTTTTAAAAGGAGGATTTTTAAAAACATCGTTATTAAAAATCTTGACATTAAAAAAAGCTTCCAATGACCTCCAGAAAATAAGCTGATAATTTGTTCTTGATCAAAAATTGTGAAGTTTTAAGGAAATATATTCAAGGACAGCTAAAAAGAATTCATAGATTTTGTAATTCGTAGATTTTGTAAGATTTGGCCAAAATAGATAAACGTGAAATTTTATTAATTCTTGTTCGATGAACTAAAAGGTGATTAGAAATTTGTAAATTTTGTCGCAAAGGTTGCAATGTAGAATGTGTACTTTTAGGTACCAAATATATGAAATTTCAAGTTGATTGTGATTTGGTTGCAAGCTCGGACTTTCATCCTCAAAATACCTAAACCATAATTTATGGATAAGAAAACCTTTCTATGCTCAAAACAAGTTAAAAAGCAGTAAGTTCGGCCGGGCCGAACATTATATACCCTCCACCAATAGGGACAAATGTCGCTAAAATAATCAAAATACCGAATATATGGAGGGGCCGTTATATGGGGCCTATACGAAGACCTGGACCTGCATAGACAATCTTCTGTCACAGACTTTAGTTCCCATTACGAACTCCAAATAGGTAATTTGAAACTACTTCGGTGAACTATAACGCCAAAAACATCAAAATACCAAATATAGGGAGGTACCGTTATATGGGGGCTATACGAAGACGTGGACCTGCACAGAAAATTTTCTGTGTTAGACTGTAGTATTCATTTCGCTATAGTTATCAAAATACCGAATATCAGGAGGAACCGTTATATGTGTATGTGTGCAAAATTTTAGCCTTCTATCTCAATTAGTTCGATAGGTGATTACAACAGACAGACAGATGGACAGACGGACAGAAAGACGGACATCGCTAAATCGACTTAGAATTTTACGCTGATCAAGAATATATATACTTTGTTGGGTCTGACATGAGTATTTCGAGGAATGACAAAGTTAATATACCCTCCAAAATATGGTGGAGGGTATACAAAAAATTAAATATATATGTACTAAATACCAAATGCTTTTTCAAGACATAATCATAGGGGAAAGTATGTAAAATTCAATAGATTCTCAATTTCCAATTTATTTATTTATCTATTTATGCGCCATCTATCTCCAGGGTATAACGCGCCAACCAGGAATGGTGTCATCATACGTATAAGTTATATCCAAGCATTCCTGCCAAACAACTTTGGCCTCAATTAAACGGCGCAAAATATTGCCTGTTCTTGGATTATATTTATTATCCCATAGATGGAGTTTTTCAAGCGGCAACGGTTTCTTCATGGTTAATAGAATCATTGATACAGCCTCTGGTCCAATATTATTATTTTCTATAAATAATACCTCCAAACTTATACCAGAGCTAAGATACTTCGAAACAATTTCTCCACCATGTGTACCCAGGCCACAACCGCTCATATTTAAATGTTTCAAATTTCCTGAAAAGGAAATTGCTTTGAGTAGGTGCTCTGCACCATCTGGACCAATTTTGTTAAAGGCCACATTTAATTTCGACAATTTAGATTCTATGTTGTATAAATATTCTGCAATGATTTCCATGTCATCCGAATTCATTTCACACATTTCCATTTCGATGGACTGCAATTTATTTTGCCATATTAGCGAGGATATGAGAAGGGCGATTTTTTGGGAATCTAAACTTAAAGTGGCGCCCAATAAACGATTGCAAATGAAAGTCTTTAACGTTTTGGATTTGTGTACTCCATCGGCTAGATTCGCAAAGTTATATTGAGTAACACTGCAATAGCCAATGTGAAGATGTTGAAGTGTGTTTGAATTAATGATAATATGTCGAAGCCACTCTATAGCACAGTCATCTAATGGAGTTCCTGGAAGATAAAAATGTAAAAAAGTAATTCATTATTTAATAAGAAAATAAAAATATGTAAAAATATATAATAATAATAATAATAATAATAATAATAATAATAATAATAATAATAATAAAAATAAGTGCCAAATTTCATCCCATTTGGGCAAATATTAGACGTTTGGTGCGCAATAAAAGGTAAATTGGACGAAGTTATATATGGGAGCTACACCCAAATCTGAAACGATCTCGATAAAATTTAGCAAAGGTATATCTGAGCTGTATTAGATATATTTTGTAAAATATAGTTGTTACAGAGTACATATTACGGCTACGGAGGACAAAAATAACAAATCGGAAGAACAATATATATGGGAGCTGAACCAATTTCGATCAAATTTGGCATACTTATTTGCAGGCCTAATTTGGTTGTATGTGCAAAATTGCATACTATTCGGGCGTTTGGTGCACAATAAAAAGCAAATCGGACTAAGATATATATGGGAGCTATATCTAAATTTTTACCGTTTATCTCTAATTTCAATAGGGTTCGTCCTTGAGCCAAACAAATAATTTGTGGAAAATTTCATCTGGATCGCGCAACAAATGCGAACTGTACTTTGTTTACAAAAATACATGGACGGACGGACAGACGGGCGGACATGCATAAATCGACTCAGAATGTGATTTTTTGCAGATCATCAAAAGGAACTATGGGTCTATCTCGTTTCCTTTTGCCTGTTACAAACAAATGCACAAAGACGTAAAACGCTGATCAACTTGAGGTGTAGGGTATAAATAGATTCAGAAGAGCTAACTGCCGAATTTGGTTTTGTCCGTCTCTGATGAGAAAACATTCGTTGTCCAGAAGTTTGTAAACAAACAAAATGATCATTTTTGCTTGCCAAAGAGGTCAGCTGAAAATGTGCATTTTCGGTTGGCCACCAGAACTCAAGCGACGGCCATGGTGATGATGTGGGCCGCCATAACAGCCGATTGTCGCTCTCCGCTTGTATTAATCGACCGTGGCAGAGCAACATTCGGGCAGCGTGTGGCGGTTTGGTATTTAGAGAAGGATAGGTATTGGTTTTATGAACTTGTGTTATAATTACTGTGAATGCGAGCGTTTAGATATCGATGCCGCTTAAAGTTAACTATGGGTTAAGGGTAACTATGGGTTAAGGGTAACTATGGGTTAGACAATGGAAGTTGTTGGAAATTGAGTTGTTGGAAATACATGCTATATCGTGTACGAAAAGTACTAAATTCGGTGGGAAGCATTAGGATAACTATGAGCATATAGCTTTTAAATAAGCAAGGTCACATTGTGCAAGTCGGTATGCAAGGCAACTATTTTCGATGTGTGTCGAAATTAGTCGTTCAATTTATAAATTGAAATTATGAACTGGTGGACTTTATTACCTTCTAGTTGGGGTTAAATACCACACATAAATCCTTTTAATATGAATTAATTTGTAAAACTCACTGGTCAGCCAATAGACTTACAAATTCGAAAGTGAATCGAAATGGCACGCATCTTAGTTAAAAACAAAGCGTTTCGCTATTAATTCATTTATAAATTTTATATATGTAGATCATAATTCTACTCACCCTCTAATACCAACTCTTCCACATGCATACAATCGACATTTTTTGCAAGCATCTCAAAAAATCCACTCGGTAAATTCATCAGTTTCAACTTAATACATTTAATTGTATTCAGACTTTCAACAATCTTCTCGATCAATTCGAATTCGCTGGCCAACAATTGTAGTCCCACTATTTTAACACTCAGCAATTGTGATCGTAAGTTAATAAACTCAATGATCGTGCCTAAATCTCGTACGGGATCATATAAACGCTGCATACGTTCTTCGAAACACAATCTTTCGAATACAAAATTACGATACGGTCGCTGGTCATATTCACGCTGCCAACAATCCAATAGAAGTACAGATAATTCACGATATTTTTGCGGTTTTGCTAAGCTATAACAGGGCACAATGCTATCGCACATTATACGAAATTAATAATTTTATTTATTCAACAAAATAACAATTGACAGACACATGGCACAATTTCATTTTCATTTGTCAATAAATCATTACCAACAGTAGTGCCTAAAAGTATGCTTCGCTTCGTTTCAAAGTACATGTCTTTGGAGCGTATTTACACAAGTATTACAAGGAAAATAATGCAGTTACTATCCTTTATAACAAGTAAACCAGTAATGAAAGTCCTAAAGTCGGGCGGGGCCGACATTTTGATACCCTACACCACTTTGCTAATTAGTAGTAGATAATTAATAGTAGAGCTCCACATAACAAAAGTTTTTATGGGAAAATTCAATCACACACGCTATGATTATAATTATAATTTAAAGTTCAAAGGACTAAATATGCCGAAGCATTTGTATCTTTTAAATTCGGGCTTGAATTGCCCATTTGGTGCAAAATTAATTTGAAATCTGATAAAGATATATATGGAAGCTATATCCAAATCTGAACCGATCTCGGTAAAATTTGGCAAAGATATTTCTGAGCTGCATTTGATATATTTCCCCAAATATTGTTGTTACAGAGTGCATTTTACGGCTGCGGAGGACAAAAATAACAAATCGGATGAACAATATATATGTGAGCTATAGCTATATCTTAACCGATTTCGATCAAGTTTGGCATGCTTATTTTCAGGCCTAATTTGATATATTTCCCTGAATATCGTTGTTACGGAGTGCGTATTACGGCTATGGACAACAAATACTACAAATCGGATGAACAATATATATGGGAGCTATAGCTATATCTGAACCGATCTTCACCAAATTTAACATACTAGCTTCTGGACCCAATTCGGTCGTAAGTGCCAAATTTCATCCCATTTGGGCAATTATTAGACGTTTGGTGCACAATAAAAGGTAAATCGGACGAAGTTGTATATGGGAGATATATCCAAATCTTAATCGATCTCTATAAAATTTTGCAAAGTTATTTCTGAGCTGCATTTAATATATTTGCCCAAATTTTGTTGTTACAGAGTGCATATTACGGCTGCGGAGGACAAAAATAACAAATCGGTTGAACAATATATATGGGAGGTATAGCTTTATCTGAACCGATTTCATTTCATCAAATTTGGCATACTTATTTTTAGGCCTAATTTGGTGGTATGTGCAAAATTTCATACTATTCGGACTGATATTACACGTTTGGTGCCCAATAAAAAGCAAATCGGACGAAGATATATATGGGAGGTATATCTAATTTTTTACCGATTATCTCCAATTCCAATAGGGTTCGTCCTTGGGCCAAACAAATGATATGTGCAAAATTTCATCTCAATCGGATAATAAATGCGACCACTATGTGGTGTAGGGTATCAAAAGCAGGAAGTTCGGCCGGGCCGAACTTTGAATACCCTCCCCCAATGGGAACGAATTTGGAAATTTAAAAAAACAAATCCGTTAAAAATTCTGATAAAATCTTAAAAACTCCGAATGTAGCCGTTATATTGGGGTCTATACGAAGACGTGGGCCTGCATAGGCATTGTTTTTCATACGCCATTACCACATTCAAATACGAAACTTGAAAAAATAGCTAAAATCATCAAAATACCGTATATAGTGAGGTACTGTTATATCAGTTCTGTCCCAGGCTGTCGTACCCATTAGGAACTTCAAATACGATATCTCAAACAATTTCGGTGAATATTGTATCTAAAATAGTCAAAATACCAAATATCGGGGGTGGGGGGGTCTACAGTTATATGGGGGATATACGATATGGTGAACTTATTTAGACAATACACTTCCAGGAGGTTAAGTACTCATAAGGATCTTCTAGTATGAGTTTTTAAGAAAATTTCATTGAAAATTTGGCTACAAACATCAAAATACCGAATATCGGAGGGTGCAGTTATATAGAGCTATACGATATCGTGGACCGATATAGCCAATCTTCGAACTTGACCTGCAGACAAAAGACTGATATGAAAGCTACAATTCTATCTTTATTCGTTTTGACTTTTGCGTGATTACAAAAGACGGACAGACGGGCGGACGGACAGGGTTAAATCGTCTTAGAATTTTAGGCTGATCAAAAATATATATATTTTGCTGGGTCTAAAATTATTATTTTGATGAGTTAGAAACGGAATACTATGTGTTGTGGAGGGTAAAAAAGTGTCCTGGGGGTGGGAAATTATAAGTGATGGTGATAGTATTTGGTTAATAGGTAAAAATCACAAAATGGTTTTGGTTTCCAAGGTGTGGTGTGAAGATAGAATGCATCGGTCCACCTCCCCCACAAAGGGTCAAATTTTGTAGATCCACGGAACTCATAAAACGTGAAATTAATATCCGATTCCATTCAGACTTAGCACATCTCAATATTTCCATCACCACAAAATCTGTTATAAAGAGGATAGAGGTCGGGCCATTCCTTCTTGTACCTCCCCCACAAAGGGTCAAATTTTTAAATAACCAAAACGATTATAAAATCCGAAACACTGCCACTTGATTTTATTACTTCAGAATAGTCGAAAATTCCCTTTAAAAGTTTAAATTAAATGTTCTGACAGTCTTTTAAGTACGTCTAAAGCTTACTTGTTTCTATAAATCACACAAAAGATCTGTTTATATTCGAAGCTGTAAAAATTGTAATTATGTCGCTATTTATTCATATTGCATTTATTTTAAACAAAAAGACTACATTAAAATAATTTAAAATTACTTCCAATCACCCACTTCATAATCCCACTGCGATGAAATCCCCTCAATGGGATTCATTTCCAAAGCAATGATTCTCTTCAACTGAGCCTGTCGGCGATCTTCATCAAAGGTGTCGGGCAAATCACGATGATACCAATTAACAAAGGCGGTCCACACCACACCAATGGCACATGCCCATAATCCTACACCCAAGTGGTGTTTCCATTCCCCAGTTGGTGCCTTAAATTCTGCAAATGTCTGGCAAAAACTATAACGATATAGGGTTTTAATATCTTCCTTCGATAATTTCTTCCAATCGCCTTTTTCCTTTTCTCGCAGAGCACAAATTGTGGCGTCTGGTTCCCGAAAACGTATAGCTGGCATTGGAAATTCGGCTACATCACAATAAATGGGTGCTCCATTCACCCCAAATCCAACATATTCACGTTTGCCACATTTGGTGTTGGTGAAATCGAAAGAGGTGTAGCGTTTTTGAGGGGCAAGTCGCGGGAAGTGGTTTAGATATTTAATCAGACCTTGGCGAGCGATAAGTTTTTCGATTTGAAGAGCCATTCTTTTATTTTGAAATGATTTACTTCAGTTCTTGTCAAATTTCACTTTTTTGTCAAAGGCAATAAGTTCAATGTGGACTGTGATTTGAAGTTGAAATTTAGAATATTTTAGTATAGATATATTCATGGTATTTCTACCATGGATATATTTAAGGTTAAAATGTTAACTTTTTGCCACAAAAACACTGTGAAACACAAAAAAAATATGTAAAAAATGCAGCATATTTTTAATTTAAAAATAGAAGAAGCGTGTATCGGCGTTTTAAAATTTAACATCGCAAAGTAATCTAAATAGAGGGGGCAAGTTTCCCATCTTCTACACTTTTTAAAATAGCTAATAATACACATACGGGGCTGCAACCAACAGTTATATCAGCAGAAATCCTTCGAAAAGTAAAGATAAATGGCTCGTGAGCCGAACTTCTTGAAATATTCCATTCGGCAAATTATGAAAAATGAGCTCGGGGTAAAACCATTGAAATTCCAAAAAGTGCAAGAACTCACCGCAACATCAGAATAAATGCCGAATATTATCGCAAAAATATTCTGGAGGGTGTATTAAAGCCAAAACATTTTGGCCACAGACCTAAGACATTCGATCAGGACTCAGCACGCGCCACCAAAAAATGGTTACAAACATGAGGTTCCTCGCTTTATTTCCAGCGCACAATGGCCACCTAAATCTCCGGATATCAATCCGTTGGACTATTGTTCTGAGTATTTTGGAAAGCAAGGTTGGCACTAAAAAATACCAAAGTGTTGATCACCTCAAGCAAGCGCTTCGCCGGGAATGGACCAAAATACTGCAGAGCAACATTCTGGCAGCGTGTGACGGTTTAATTGGCCGTTTGAAGGCCATAATTCGAACAAATCTCGACTTATTCTTAAATTTGATGTTATTTCCGACATTTTTTTTCATTAAATAAAATTAAAAAAAAATGTAGAAATTATGGCGTTTAACTTTGTTGCAGTTTTTTTATCTCACTCTGTATTTCATTAAATAAAATTAAAAAAAAATGTAGAAATTATGGCGTTTAACTTTGTTGCAGTTTTTTTATCTCACTCTGTATAGCTATATCTGAACCGATTTTCTCCAAATCTGAGGAAATTGTTTCTAGGCTAAATTCGGTCGGAAGTGCCATCGAAATGAAATCGGATAAAGGTATGTATGGGATATCCAAATCTTAACCGATCTTGATTTGGCAGAGGTATTTCTGGGATATATCTAAATATCATTCTTGTGGAATGCATATTACGAACGTTAGGGACTTAAACATCAGTTGAAACATATATATGGGAGCTATAGCTATATCTGGTAATTTGGGCTGATATTGGACATTTGGTACATAATTAACCCGAAATCGGTTGAAGGTATATATTGGAGCTATAATTAAATTTTAACCGTTTCTAATCAATTTCAATAGGGTTTGTCTTTGGGACAAACAAATATTATTTGAACCAGTAAGGAAAGCTCAAAAGTCGGGCGGGGCCGACTATATGATACCCTACACCACTATGCATATTTAGTTGAGCTCTCGTAAAAAGGTTTATACAGGGCATTTCAGAGCTCTATGAGATATTTGGTACAAACTCAAAATCTATCTAATTCTAAATTCAAAATGAAAATCTATCGTGCATTTTACGAACATAGCTATCTCTGAACCGGGTTTCTCCAAATTTGACGTATTAGCTTCTAGACTGAATTCGGTCTTATGTACGAAAATTCAGGTGATTTGGGCTGATATTGACCATTTAGTGCACAATTAACCTGAAATCGATAGAATAATGTGAAGAGTATCCTATGCTATGCTATATCCAAATCTGAACAGATTTTGATAAAATTAAAATCGACTATTTTTGGGCTTTATCTGATATCTGGTACCAAATATCATTCCTGTGAAGAGTATATTACGAATGTAAGGGACTTAAAGAGCAATTTGGATGAAACATATATATGGGAGCTAGAGCTATATCTGAACCGATTTTTACTAAAATTGGTGTACTTGATTCTAAGCTGGTTTCGGTCGGATTTGCCAAAATTGATGCTATTACGGCCATTTGGTGGTCAATCACCCGAAATCGGATGAAGATATATAAGGGAGCTATATCCAAATCTGAACCGATTTCGATAAAATTTAAAACAGCTATTCCTGTGCTCCATCTAATACCTGGTACCAAATATCACGATTGTGGAGTGAATATTACGAATGTAACAGTACGTTTATATATATGAGGGTTAACCCACTGGATTTGGATTTAAATTGTCATATCCATTACTTTTACTTCAAATAAATCCTCTCAAAGTAGGTTAACCTTATGAAAAGTTCTAACGTAAACATGGCATAAGGGACTAAAACACTAAATCGGATGAAACATATATATGGTTGCTATATCTATATCTGAACCAATTTTCACTAAATTTGATATACTTGCTTCTAGGCTGAATTTGGTCCGATGTACTAAAATTCAGTCTATTCGGACTTATATCGGCCATTTGGTGCACAATTAACCCGAAATCGGATAAAGATATATATGGGAGCTATATCCAAATCTGAACCGATTTTGATAAAATTACAAACAGATATTTCTGGGCTGTATCTTATATCTGGTACCAAATATCACGGTTGTGGAGTGCATAGTAGGAATGTGAGGGACTTAAAGATCAAATCGGATAAAATATATATATGGGAGCTATCTGAACCAAATTTGATATACTTTCTTCTAGGCCGATCTCGGTTGGGTGTGCCAAAATTCAGGTAATTTGGACTGATAGTGGACATTTGATGCACATTTAACACGTAATCGGATGAAGATATATATGGGAGCTATATTTAAATTTGATCCGATTCTCACCAATTTCAATAGGGTTCGTCCTTGGGCCAAAAAAATATTGTTTGGAAAATTTCATCTCAATCGGATAATAAATGCGACCTGCATTTTGTTCACAAGAATACATGGACAGACGGACGGACGGACAGACGGACTGACATGCATAAATCGACTCAGAAAGTGATTCTATGAAGGTTCTCAAAAGTAACTATGGGTCTATCTCGTTTCCTTCTCCATGTTACAAACAAATGCACAAAGGCATAATACCCTTACCACTATGTGGTGTAGGGTATAACCAGTAAAGAAAGTCCTAAAGTCAGGCGGGGCCGTCTTTATAATACCCTACACCACTTTGCTAATTTTGTAGAGCTCCACATTAGAATTTAAAGATTTTATGGGAGAATTATGATGATTATAATTATATTATGATTATAATTGTAATTTAAAGTTCAAAGCACTAAATATGCCGAAGCATTTGTATCTTTTGAATTCGGACATGTATTGCCCAGTTGGTGCGAAATTAATTTGAAATCGGATAAATATATATATGGGAACTATATCCAAATCTGAACCGATCTCGATAAAATTTGGCAAAGATATTTCTGAGCTGTATTTGATATATTTCCCTGAATATCGTTGTTACGGAGTGCATATTACGGCTGTGGGTAACAAATACAATCGGATGAACAATATATATGGTAGCTATAACTATATCTGAACCGATCTTCACCAAATTTGGCATACTACCTTCTAGACTAAATTCGGTCGTATGTGCCAAATTCCATCCCATTTGGAAAAATATTAGACGTTTGGTGCACAATAAATGGTAAATCGGACGAAGTTATATATGGGAGCTATATCCAAATCTGAACCGATCTCGATAAAATTTAGCAAGGGTATTTCTGAGCTGCATTTGATGTATTTGCCCAAATATTGTTGTTACAGAGTGCATATTACGGCTGCGGAGGACAAAAATAACAAATCGGATGAACAATATATATGGGAGCTATAGCTATATCTGAACCGATTTCGATAAAATTTGGCATACTTATTTTCAGCCCTAATTTGGTTTTATGTGCAAAATTCCATACTATTCGGGCTAATACTACACGTTTGGTGCACAATAAAAGGCAAATCGGACGAAGATATATATGGGAGCTATATCGAAATTTTTACCGATTATCTCCAATTTCAATAGGGTTCGTCCTTGGGCCAAACAAATGTTGTTTGGAAAATTTCATCTCAATCGGATAATAAATGCGACCTGCATTTTGTTCACAAGAATACATGGACAGACGGACGGACGGACAGACGGACAGACGGACTGACATGCATAAATCAACTCAGAAAGTGATTCTATGCAGATCATCAAAAGGAACTATGGGTCTATCTCGTTTCCTTTTGCCTGTTACAAACAAATGCACAAAGACATAATACCCTGACCACCTTGTGGTGTAGGGTATAAAAATTTATAATAAATGCGACCTGGAGACGGACTAACATGCATAAATCAACTCAAAAAGTGATTCTATGAGGATCCTCAAAATATCCATCTCGCTTCCTTCTCTATGTTACAAACGAATACACAAAGACATAATACCCTTTCCACTATGTGGTGTAGGGTATAAAAATCGACAACTATTGTCCTTAAAAAAAGAAATATTATTTGAATTCTACATTTATAGCTCTTGTAGTCCTTATGAAAATTTTATTTAAAATCCGTGATTATTGCTACTTTAGAATTTTAACTAAAATCCACTGAAAACCTATTACTTAATACTTTAATCCAGATTACACAAAAAAAAGTTCTTTCAAAAAAAAAATTATTTTTTACAATTTACTAAAAATTTTATATCTAATAACTCCCCGTTGTAGTGACACTGCAATTTCTTCCCAATAAATTATGCCCTAGAACATGTGCGTACAAAGCCCTCGTCTCCAAATTGTCAACATCTAACGTCTATTATATATGATTAATAACAAGTAAAAACACGTTATTTTCTTAAACAATCAGCACTTCTATATTTTTAATCTCAAGATAATAAGTCAATACTTTAGTTGTTTTTGTTTTGAACAAACATTTTAGAGAAATTTGCGTCAAATTAAAACTGTTTTACTTTCAGACCACTTGAGAATTTATATATGGCCAAGCACAAGAAATATTTCAGTAACATTCCCAAAAATTTCTTTAGAAAATTTCAAATAAAACTAAAGTATTGAATTTATCACCTCTAATTTTATGCTTCAATTTCAAAAACAACAACACGATAAGATGTTATTTACGGAGGCCAATAGCGATTAAAAAACACACACCCTACAACTGAATTCTACTCAAAATTGAATTAAACCATAATCAATGAACGAAGTATTTTTTTACAGCATAAACGTAAACTTTTTGAACTCAAATTTAGATAAAGTAGTAATAGTAATTAACATTTAATGAGGTTTTTCCCACCTTTGCAATGCCGATTAGTCTTAGATAATAACGCTTTAACACATTTTTTAAGAAGCTGTCATAATTTGGCTTGTTGACTTAACTGATTTTATACACAAAAAAAAAATTCTCTCAATTTTTTTTTTTTTTTTCGGATACTAATTATTTTATTTCTCTCCGAATTTGATTCATACTTCCAGTCACACATATGGACCGGAATATTAATTTTTTTCTGTTCGTTTTGTATGCCCAGCCAATTTGTTGGTAATAAAAAAGATCTTCCCGCACGATTGTTTGTACTCAGTTTCAACACGCAAAGCCCCACGGAGAACCCCCCTTCAGCCGCAGATTGATTGTGTGTTTTTTGTCATTTGAAGTTTCTCTTCACCTGTTTATTTAGAGTGGCACAGTGTGATGTTTGAGATTAATATTAGGCAAATACCATTAATATTCGTGTTTAGGTGCACATGTTCTTGAGCCGTATTATGAAGAAAACAAAAAATGTGTCCAATGGCATGGAAATATTATATGAATCAATCTATCAATGAAAAAATCAGTGTGATGTTTGGTTCAAAAAGTGTAATTTTTAATATTTTGGCTAAATTTTTAAAATAATAACAAGAAATAATGTAAGTTCGGCCGGGTCAAACTTTGAATACCCTACACCATTTGGTACAAATTTGGCATATTTCAAAAAATTAAGATCCATTAAAAATTCTGTTAAAATCTTTAAAATACCGAATGTAGCCGTATATTAGCGCCAATACGACGACGTGGACCTGCATATACAACTTTTATCATAAGCGTGCACAGACAATTTTCTGGCATAGGCTGTAGTATCCATTACGAACTTCAAATACAAATAATTTGAAATAATTCCGGTAATAATGTGGGGGCTACACGAAGACGTGGACCTACATGGCCCATTTTCTGTCTTATGCTGTAGTATCCATTTCGAACTTCGAGTACCAAATCATCAAAATACCGAATATCGGGTGGTACCGTACGGGGGCTATACGAAAACGTGGACCTACATGGCCCATTTTCTGTTTTAGGTTGTAGTACTTCAAAAAAAACTTCAAATACCAATTTTGAAACAATTCCGGTAAATAATGTAGCTAAAATCATCAAAATATCGGGAGGTACCGTTATACGGGGGCTATACGAAGATGAGGACCTACATGACCCATTTTCAATACCAAAAGTCCTGCAGACATAATACACGTTTGAGTAAATTTTTATTAACTGACTTCATTTCGTTCGGAAGCTAGAGTGATTTACACAAACGGACGGACATTGTTAAATCGATATAGAATTTTATGCTGATCAAGAATATATATACTTTGTGGGGTCTTAAAAGTATATTTTTAGGTGTTACAAACGGAATGACAAACTTAATATACCCTACATACTATGGTGGAGGGTATAATAACATAAAAGATTTTAGAAAATCTGACTTTAACCATTATTTATAAGTTTTCAATGGAAAATTTGCTGCGTAAAAATTATCCAGCATCATCTGCAAATCAGCTGATTTGGGGCCGATATGAAATATTCACAAGACCATAATTGAAAATAATTTCAATATTTTATTTTTTTTTTTTTTTTTTTGTAAGGGTATTATGTATTTGTGCATTTGTTTGTAACATGGAGAAGGAAGCGAGATAGACCCATGGTAACTTTTGAGAATCTTCGTAGATCTTCTGGCGGATTTATTATCCGATTGAGATTAAATTTTTTAAACAATATTTATTTGTCCTAAGGAATAACCCTTGTTGAGAATCGGTCAAAATTTAGATATAGCTCCTATATCTTCAATCGATTTCTCGCCACATCATCTGCAAAAATTATCGATTGTCACGATTATAAAGTTTTCAAGGATAATATTCATTCGAATCAGCTGCAATTTAATTTATTTCTATTTTTTAGAATTTTTTGTCAAAAAAATTATACATAGCCTCAGTGATATCTTCATATACAGGGTGAGATGAAAAAATTGCAAACTGCCGTCATTTCTAAAACACTTGTCCGACTGCTGTTAAAATTATTCCAGTGACAGCCCATTATTTTGTTTACAAGGGTAAAAAAGCATTTTCGTGAGAATTTTACAGAAAAAAAGTTATTTGTGATGGAACTCAAGCGTGATTAGAACACTCTAGCATTTAAATGTGAATAAACCTTTTGTTTCTCGTACCATCGCTCGTCACCGTGATGCTGGTATCGAAACCCGCGTCGCAGTGGCCGAAAATGGCTCGTGAGCTGAACATATCGCAATATTCCATTTTCAAATATTGAGAAATTAACTCCAAAAAGTGCAAAAACTTACACCGTAACAGAAAGAAAATAGACTCAAATAAGCTAAAGAGTTGCTTCGCTTAGCCGAAAGTGGAGAACTATCGAATTTGTTTTTCTCCGATGAGAAAACATTCGTTGTCCAGCAGTTTATAAACAAACAAAATTATCGTGTTTTCTTGCCAAAGAGGTCAGCTGAAAAAAAATGCACCTTCGGTTGGCCACCAGAACTCAAGCGCCGGTTATGGTGATGGTGTGGGCCGCCATAACAGCCGATGGTCTCTCTCCGCTCGTATTAACCGACCGTGGCATCAGAATAAATGACGAATATCATCGCGAAAATATTCTGGAGGTGTATTAAAGCCTTGGGCACGCAAACATTTTGGCCGCAGACCTTGGACATTGCAACAGAACTCAGCACCACCCAAGAATGGTTAAAAAATGAGGTTCCTCGCATCATTTCCTACGCACAATGGCCATCAATCCTTCTGTGTCTGGGGTATTTTGGAAGGCAAGTTTAGTACTAAAAAATACCAAAGTGTCAATCACCTCAAGCAAGTGCTTCGCCAGGAATGGGCCAAAATACCGCACAGCAATACCACTGTTTCATTGGCCGTTTGAAGGCCATAATTCGTGCCAAAGGTGACGAATTAGAACAAATCTAAACTTATTATAAAATTTGGTGCTATTTTCGACATATTTGCTTTCATTGAATAAAAATTTAAAAAGAAATGCAAAAATTATGGCGTTGATTTGATTGAAGTTTTTTATCTCACCCTGTAACTGTACCTTCATTTTATCATTACAAAATAATGACAACATGTTTTCTTTTGCAAAAAAAAAAAAATGTTAGTCATAGAATAAGTAATGTTTAGTATCCGTAACGAATGTACATGTGTGGCTACCAAAGGTCAAGACCTCAAAAAAATAAAAAATCACTAATTTTCATAGTAAAATTCAAACAACACTCATGGCAATCAATCGGAACGTAAAAAACTGTTTACAGTTTGAATTCAAGGCAAATATTATTTTTGTGCCATCTAGCCATTTCTTGTGGTCATTTTATTAATATTTTTTTAACAAGGTGAATAAATAAAGAAAAAAATAACTTCATTTATAAATAGAAGCAACTGATAATGTGATTTCAGGTGGGAAAACCCACAATGAGTTCCTCAAAAAAAATCTGGGGATTAACGGAATATTTATCACCTATTTAACCTAAAAGCTTTGTGACTTATCTATTTATGTTATCAGATTTTGAAAAACAAAAACGCCAAACATCAGCCCCTACTAACTTCTATTTCATCTTCTTTCATTGTTTGTCCCACTGTCAGTTTATTGCTACCATCTATATACATATATTAACACTTATATTGCTAATATGAATGAACGAATGTGTGTATGCATGTGTGCCGTATATATTCTTGATTTGTTCTGTTTTTTTGTTTTTGTTTTTTTTTATTTCATTTTTTTCTCGTGCTCGTTTTTTTATACAACCTTTTTTTAACAATCATTCAGCGAAAAATACGTTAACAGCGCCAGGCTTCATTTAGTTAAAAAATGTTAACAATCAATGACGGTCTCGGAATAAGTTAACTTTACGTGCACTCCGTCAAAAACATCAAAAATTGAAAAAAAAAAAAACCTATCGACACACGAACTTGAACTCAAAATTAATTTATTAGGCAAAAACTGGTATACTGGTTAAAAAAAATTGGTTTTAATGAAAATATTTTAACGAGCTAATTAGAAAATATACGCGAAAAAGGTGATAAAAATTATATTTTAAACAAAAGAACACAAAACATAATTTAAAAGTGTCATAAAACAAATGGAAGTTGTTTATCACAATTTTTTGAAACAATCCAAATGCTGTGTTTACAAATAATTAATTAACAAAGCAAATAAAATAAGAAAATAATGAATTGAAATTCGTGAAATTCGTTGGGGGAGGTGTAATATTTGAAGCATGAAAACGCAAATATGTTTTGAATTATTGCTGCGAGAGAAATTACATTTACATTGAAAACTGTTATGCATACATATTTTGATATTGTGCAGTGTTTTTTGTAGCTGTTTTCCTAAAATATCAATGTTTTGGAAGAATTTTTAATAAAAGCTCCATTTTTCCTGCCCGCATTTTATTGGATTTCAAATTAGAACAATATGCATCAATATAATAGTCATGAAATGATTAAGTTTTATTTTTTGTATATTATTGATTACAAAAATATCTAATTCTGCAATATTTTGAACTTAAATACAATGCTATAAGCCAATCAAAAAAGAATCTAGTCATCCTACTTTATTCCAAAATTGGGGAAGACGTGATTTGGGGATTTTTGTTTTGTACAATATAGCCTCTTCAACAATCCCAAAATATGTCAATTATAAGGGCGCATTCGAAAACCGAAACCCACAGTGAAGTTTTGTTGCCTGGATGTGTTCTACTCATTAGGATTTTAGGCTTCACAATATGGCTGGAACCATCAATAATGTCAAAATGTGAACCTATAATAATAATTAGTTGTAGGAAAAAGTGAATCCACAATAAATAAAATCTACGATTTTCCAACAAGAGGTCCTTGAAAAACTGTGCTTAAAAAATAAAGATTTCCGAATTTAAAGAAGTCCTTTAAACAAGTTTCTTATGAAATTCCCTATTTTCTACCAAGAAGTACTCGATAATCCACGGTATTTAAACAACAGGTTTTTGAGTAAGTTTTCTTAAAAATGTGAGAGGTCGCTGAAAAAGTTCCTAATAAAAAAGTAAAAAATCCTGATATTTTGCTAAGAGTTCCTAAGAAATATTTCTAATCCACGATTTCTGTCAATAAGTCCTTTAAAAGAAGTTTTTAGCATTCCCTGAAAAAGTTGTCTTGAAAAATCTTAGAATTTCTGTCAAAAAAAGTCCTTGAAAAGGGTTTGTTTTGGCAAGAGGTCCTTGAACAAGTTTTCTTAAAAAAGTCAACGGGTCACCGAGTTCCCGAGAGGTCCTAAAAATGTTCTAAAAAATCCACGATTTCCTGCCAAGAGCACCTAGATATAGATTTCTTGAAACATCCTCTATATTCCGCGGAGATGTCATTGTGTCATTGCAAATGTTTTCTTAAAAAGCCTACGATGTTTTGCAACGGGGTTCTACAAAACGTTTATCTTAAAAAATCGGTTATTTTCTGCCAAGAGGTCCTTGAAAAAGATTTCTTTAAAAGGTCCTTTGAAAAGATCACGATCTACTTTCAAGAGGTCCTTTAAAAAGTTCTCTCAAGTTTTCTCAGCCAAGATGTCCCTGAAAGAGATTTCGTTAAAATCCCCAAGACTTTCTCGCAAGAAGTCCTTGAAAAAGTTTTTCGTTTAATTTTTTTTTTTTTTTTTTTTTTTTTTTGAAATCCACGATTTCCTTTCAAGAGGTCCTTCAAAAAGTTTTCTAAAATAATCAACCATTTTCCGCTAAGAGGTCATTGGAAAATTGTTCTTAAAAAAATCAACCATTTTTGCCAAAAGGTCTTAAAAAAAAGGTCTTTCAAATTGTTTTAAAAATCCAAAATATTCTGCCAAGGCCTCCTTGAATAAGTTTTCGTTAGAAAAATACGATTTTCCAACAAGAAGTCCTTGAAAAATCTTTAAAATATAGAATTATTATAATTACGGAAGATTAGATGAACACGAATAGTCCCTATTTAAGACGGGGGAACTATCCGTGTTGTTGATTCAGGATTATTAAATTTCTAGTATCAGAATATAAATTCACACTTTATTTCGATAAAAATATTGGCAACTTAAAAAAAAAACAGTAAGGAAACGCAAAAGTCGGGTCGTGAATCGTATATGAACCCGACACCAACATTATGAATTTTTAGTAGTCACCTGTGACAATTAAACATTCATATTGTAAAGAAGGACAGACGCGCGGACCGAAGGACATGCATAAATTAACTCAGAATGTGATTCTATGGAGATCACCAAATGGAACTATGGGTCTATATCGTTTCCTTTCGAATGTTATAAACAAATGCATAAAGACATAATATCCTGTACATGTGTAGACAACTAATTTGAATTTTCAAAATGTTGACCATTTATAGACCAATATTCTCAATACTTACCCAATTTTAAAACAAATATTAAAATATAGAAGAAAACGCTTTGGTTGATTTCAGACTAATCTGTCTATGGCCCAGGTGTTCTTACTTTGTATCAGTGTTGTCATATTTCTTCATTTCTATATTCGCAAAGAAAAACCTTCCATGTATAAAATTATTTAATAATTTCAATGTTTTTTTTTTTTTTTTCATTGTGTCAAAGCAATCTTAAATCCAAAAATTGCTACCAAGATAACCAAGGAATTTGTACGTCTTATTAATAAAATTATGTGTTATGTGGGTGTGTTATAATTTTATAACTCATTCATTAAAAAATATGACACAATTTATTTTACCATACACACGCTTATGTATTTATATCCACGCGTTTCGGATTTTATCATAAAATTTTAATTTATAACCAATAGAATTGACATGTTCGAATATTAACATATTTTAATATGACAAACGGTTTGGCAATTCAATTTATAAACCCTATCTCAATATTTTGATTATTATACTTATCTTTTGACTACAAATCGGAGATAAGATATTAAGTATTGAGTTTCTTTAAGATATCATTTGAATGACAAGCTCATTCAACTTTCGTTACCCCGGTACCCGGTTATCTTGATCAAATATTAGACAAATAATGTAAAACGCGAATTTCCCGGTGTTTCATAATGTAATGGCGATGATTTGAAAGCTTATATAAAATATGGACTAATAGAGCAAAAATAGTGGATTTAAAAAAAAAATATTTTTGAAGACTATTAACGAAGTTAAAACTTTCTTTTCTAAAGAACAAAAGAATTTAGATATTTTAAAGATCCTCGGCACAATTTCTATTCGAAGTTTATGGATTTGTATATGTTTAGGTGAGATAGTTCGAGTTAGTAATGAGAAGACAACCACAGTCTTGCAAAAATATTTTATAATGGTACAGGATTTTATCATATCACACTAGATTTTGGAGTTTTTTAATCTTAAGCCACATCTTCCAATAAAAAATATGACTCTAATTTCTGCTTAGTTCATCTGAAACTTGAAGAAACTAGAAAATTTTCAAAAAAATGTCCGAAAAATACCTCTTAAATGACAATCGTTATATGCTGGCTATACGAAGACATAGACCTGCATAATTTATTTTTTGTCATGGGCGTAGTACCCATTACGAACTTCATATACGAAATTTGAAAAAACTCCATTCTATAATGTCTCAAAAATCATAAAAATGCTAAATATTGGGAGGTACCCTTATCTGGGGGCTATACAAAGACTTGGACCTGCATAGACAATATTCTGTCACGGGTTGTAGTACCCATTAAAATATGGAAAAGAAATACGCTCAGCCTCAGATTAATGCTCGTATTCATACGCAGATTCAGAAGAAAAAAATTTTCCTAATATTTTAAAGAATTGGAAAGTAATTGAAACTTGCTTCAAAAATGGCGCCCAACGTCGGCAGTTTTATGTAATTGAAAAAAACTAAAATTAACTATTTAAAAACAATGGACCTATAAATAGATATTGTAAAAGGTAACATAGGAGAATTTTTTTTTTTTGCTTTTCGAAATGGAGTTGAATAAAAATTTGCTAAGTGGCGCCCAACGTGAGAGATTTGGCTTCTAAATTTTAAATATTTTGTGAATATCTTGCATAATCGTTTAAGTGAATTAAATCTTTCCTAGGATTAAGAAAATGAATCAGAGGTCTTCGAGAGAAGTGGCAGTTGTCCTAGTTGTTGTACCCTTTACGAACTTCAAATACGAATTGTAAAATATTCCGGTAAATAATGTCGCTAAAATCATTAAAATACCGAATAAAGTTTTATGGGGGCTATACGAAAACGTGGACTGACCACTGCCTGCTGGCAAAATACACACGTGTGTAAAATTTTAGCCTTCTATCTAAATTCGTTTGAAAGGTAGCGTGATTACAATAGACAGACAGACGCACATCGCTTAATCGACTTGGAATTTTACGCTGATCCAGAATAGAATATATTATGAGTATTTCGAGGAGTTACAAACGGAATGCCAATGTTAAGATAAGAAGATTAAAAAGTGTAAACCGTTTCTTGATGGGAACAAATGACTAATGAATATTCTCTTTGGTCAAGAGGCATTATTTAATCTTCAACTCTGACAATAGTTTATGCAATGACATTAAGCCAACAATTCAGTCAATTTCTAACCCTTTTAAAAACTTTATTCAAAACGAAACTTAAAATGAACCTTTGTTTATAGCACAAGCTCTATATAAAAGATATTGAAACTGCAAATATTATCCTCCAGATCCTGATACTTATCATCCACAATATTGCATTCTTTCAATGTAATCAAAAATTTAAAACAATATCTATCGTTATCAACTTGGACCTGCATAAACAATAAAAGAAAATAAAAAAAGAAATACGCTCAGCCTCAGATTAATGCTCGTATTCATACGCAGATTCAGAAGAAATAAATTTTCCTAATATTTTAAAGATTTGGAAAGTAATTGAAATTTGATTCAAAAATGGCGCCCAACGTCGGCAGTTTTATGTAATTGAAAAAAACTAAAATTAACTATTTAAAAAGAATGGACCTATAAATAGACATTGTAAAAGGTAACATAGGAGAATTTTTTTTTTTTGCTTTTCGAAATGGAGTTGAATAAAAATTTGCTAAGTGGCGCCCAACGT